ACGGTGACTTCAGCAGAGCCCAGCTCTAGACATAGATCCCACCACACTTGGGCTCGCCTACAGGCCAGGGCTGATGGACAGAACCTCTGCTTCCTGGTCCAGCTGCAGATCCGGTCTTCAAAGAGCAATTTTCAGCAACTGAGCAGTTGAAATCTGCATGATAACATGAGTTTACCTTCACCATAAGGTCTCCGCTTCAATTTCAGTCTCTAACAAGCTTTGGCCAAAAGTTTTGTGAACTGTACAGAAAAGCCAACCACCTAATACCTTTTAAAAAACAGGTCAGGACACTGAATATCCAAGCAGAAAAATTTTCCTCCTTTTCAGAGTAAATATTTCTTTTTGGAGAATAATTTTCCTTCTTCCTTAACAAAAACTGCCATGTCAGTTAGCCAGAAATGACTCAGGATTTTGCAACAAAGTTCTGGCACAGAAAGTACATCTCAAAACCAGACTGTAACACAGCAAGTAGGAGCGAGAGAGTCAGTGCACGTGCACGTGTGAGTGTGAATGTGAGTGTGTGTCCCACTTCTTCCAGGGATGGGATTAAGCAGGCAGAACATCCGACCTCTACAGAGCTCACATACCAGACTTACAGCGTAAGCACAGGCAACGGATTGGCAGCTCTGTCAGGGAAGGGCACCCACCGTAACGAGAAAGGACAGCGCTTGCAACGCTGCGGAACGGCCATACCTGACGGCCTGCCAGGAGCACACTGCGGGGCACACGGGAGCACGGTTTGGGATGCCCCAGCAAAGGCAAGGGCAGGCAGGGACCACTGCCCCAGAGCCCCCTCCTCCAGAGGCTGACAGACATCAGCTGTCCTTTGGTTTCAAATATACGAGATTCACAGCAGTGCAAGGGACAGCAGCGGTGATGGTGGATGAAGCAGCCAGAGATACACAGCTGAAGTAAGGAAAACACAGGACCCAGGTAACAAACTTGACAGCCGCCATCAGTACTAGTTTTGGCATAAAGCATTAAAAATAGAAATTAAGGTAAAAAATCACAATATAAGTAATTCAGTGCCCCGAGTCCCTTATTCACTACTTTAACTAGCTAGGCTCTAACATTTAGAGTCAGGAAAAACGTGATATAGTCCAGCTAAAACCACCACCAGGATTACTCCAGTGCTGTTGAAGGTAGAATCCAGCCCAAAGGAACTGCAGCAAGAACACATTTAACCAGTCTTTTAAAATACACCTACTTTTTATAGCCACCTCTGAGCAGTATGGAACATACATTAGCAGGGATGGGACCAGTTAAACAGAAACGTGCAAAGGGAAGGAGGAACCAGACAAGAAGTAAAATCAGCTCTGGCATGCAGAAGCTGGAGCAAACCCATGGGCTCTGTGCAGATGGCAGCTCTGCTGGAAATGATGCTCTGGCCAGCTCGGGCGGCTGCGTGGCCAGGAGGCGCCCAGCCAGCCCCAGTTTGCAGTCAGAGGGGACCAGGTCCAGGGAGCCTGCTCCGGCCAAAAAAAA